CGACGAAATCAGAATTCCTGAATGCCATCAAGATGCTAAAAGCTGGGAAAGCACCAGGACCAGATGGAATCCCAGCAGAAGCTTTGAAAATAGACCCAGAGACAACAGTGGACTTGATGACGCCACTGCTGGAGAAGGTGTGGAAAGAGGGCAAAGTACCCGAGGATTGGAAGAACGGATACTTATTCAAACTACCAAAGAAAGGAGACTTAAGTCAATGTAAAAACTGGCGTGGAATTATGCTTCTGTCCATTCCAAGCAAGATACTAAGTCGCATCATCCTGGAGAGAATCAAACAAGCCCTAGATGAAAAACTTCGTCCGGAACAGGCCGGATTCAGGAGAAACAAATCATGTATTGATCAAATCGCCACTCTACGGATCATCATTGAACAAAGCTTGGAATGGCAGTCACCTCTCTATCTCAACTTCATCGACTTTGAAAAGGCCTTCGACAGCGTCGATCGAGAGGTCATTTGGAAACTACTTCGCTACTACGGGGTCCCATCGACAATTATACATCTCATCCAACAGTTATACGACAATGCTGCATGCCAAGTAATCCACAACGGGAAACTTACGGAAGCCTTCGAAGTGAGGACGGGAGTGAGGCAAGGCTGTCTACTATCACCAATGATCTTCCTGATTGCAGTAGATTGAATAATGCGACAGACAACGGCAACCAACGAGGGAACAGGCATAAAATGGACTGACACAAAAAACTTGGAGGATCTGGATTTCGCCGATGATATATGTCTGATTTCCCACAAACTGGAAGATATGCAAGTGAAAAGTAACAAGTTGGCAGAAGAAGCATCAAAGATAGGACTTCACGTGAACATAGATAAAACAGAGATGATGAAGATTCCTAGCCAACATCAACAGCAACAACAACAGACAACAATAAGCATAAATGGGAAGAACCTGAAAGAAACAACCTCCTTCACCTACCTGGGAAGCATCGTCTCAACTACAGGCGGAACTGACGAGGATATCAAAGCCAGAATCGGAAAAGCAAGACAAGCTTTCATTACTCTCAAATCTGTGTGGAGGTCAACAGCACTCAGCATCAAAAATAAGATCCGGATTTTCAACTCCAATGTGAAGTCAGTGCTACTATACGGATCAGAGACTTGGCGAGTCATAAAGAGCATCTCAAACAAACTTCAGACCTTCATTAACAGTTGTCTTCGCTCAATACTCAAGATCAGATGGCCAGAAAAGATCAGCAACAGGGATCTCTGGGAGCGAACCAACCAGGAACCGATTGTGAAACAAATAGGCAGAAAGAAATGGAGATGGATTGGCCATACGCTGAGGAAACCATCAAGTGACATCAGTAGACAAGCCCTCGAGTGGAACCCGAAAGGGAGGCGGCGAGTTGGTCGTCAGTGCAAGGGTGACTTGGAGGAGGTCATGCGAAGAGGAGATGAAAGCATGTGGACAGACCTGGAGCAGGGTGAAAAAGTTGTCAGAAAACCGAAGGCAATGGAGGTGCGCAGCTGAAGCCCTATGTTCCTCTAGGAACTAAAGGATACAATAATAATAATAATTTTCTAATCCTATGCTATTCTGTCTCTAAGCCCCTTGTAATTTATATTCGTAGCTTCAAACTTTCATATCAAGTTGAAAATTATTATCACCTTCGTTACTATGTGAAATTAAACAAATAAGAATTGTAACCATGGTAACTAATCTTTATAAATGCGATTATACAGCTTTTGAGAATGAAATCGCCGAAAAGATAGTTATCTTTGCTGAACTTCTTGTTCTTTTCAGACTAATTTTCAACATAACTCGGTGATGTGAGTGACATACTGTTCCAAATTAACTGAACTGACCTGTTATGACTGAAGTGAATAAATCCGTTCGCTACTTTGTTATGCCTGTACCTGCTAATCACTATAACGGTAATGAACAACTCGACTGGTACGCTAATACGTCTCTATTTGTCCGTTGTACCTTCCGATTCACTAAACCACTCAAATATCAGAAGATAAAAGCCGGCCTGTAACTGTAAGATACTGTATTGTACATCTATTAGGAAACAAAACATCATATTTATATGTTTAATATATCACAATACAGTTGGCTTACAACCGTGAGGATTTTTTTATTCCTTTACGTTCCCGGTGGAACGTAGGGATTCAAAGTAGAGACGTGAAGTTTTTGTAGCAGTAGCCTCATTCTCAACCTTCCCGCTTCACCAGTCTTATTACTAGTTCACTGAGGAAAAGGAGTGCGTCCGTGGCTGGAGATTGAACCCCGGACCACCTGCGTGGTCAGTGGGTACTCCACCACTATGCCACTGACGCACGACCGTGAGAATGGACTATTGTTCTTATAGGCTGGAAATGTCTATTCTGATTGGTTGGTGGTCCGGCAAACACTAAGGTGAGACTAAAGACGATGAATCGATCACATACACTAAATCACAATATGCGTAAGAAATGATGGATCCACATAGTGACCCCATCACAAGTTAAATCCCACGATTCATGACAAAGGATGATATACTAATTTATGCTGGGTTCTAATGTGGTGAGAGCTGTCTGCTATCCGAAATTGTAAACAACAATTTAGGTCTATGGATACGTCCCATATTGCGGGCATGAGAGAAAGAAAGAACAAAGCCTAACCTTTAGGAACTCAACAACCAATCACAGCAGACTTAGCGTGGGCGGATACGATTCACAGATATATATCAACGGACTGTCTAGGAAACCGAAACAAAGAGATGACAGAATAACCTTCAGCAAAAAAACAACCAATCAGAAGACGTTACCCCTCTTCCAACAATAACGCTAATAATAATGTACATAAAATTCTAAAAATATTTGTTGATTTTCTCAATAGAGGATCTATTGCCTGGCCCTCTTCTCCTGTCGTCACACTATCGCATACAACTACTCATTTCAGTCAGTCAATCAATTAGGCAATCAGTCTCATATAGTTTTATGCATTTACGTTTAGTTCATTGATTACTATTTATATGTATCAAGCAGATCACTTTCTGTGATCTTAGCAATCTCCGTCCCCAAAGGAAACAGTGGTGAAGTAGTCACTTCGAACTGCGTGTATGTGTGTGTGTGAGTATAATTTGCGAAATATTTTGCTCAATTTTGAAGTAATTTGTAATTTATGAATTTGATTGTGAAGTATTACTTTGAGTCTAAGGAGTGAAATTAACCAGCATGTTGCTGAATCAGTATGTCCGAACACTAACTCAGACATTGTCGAAGAGTACGTACAAGGAGCTGACATGTCAACAGAGGTTGGACACTTCAGTCAAATCAATCAATGAGAAAGTCCAAATAGAATTAAATAATCAAATACTAAATAGTTCGCTCATGATCCTATTTCTATGTAGGGATTATCAATGTTCAGCTGACATTAACAAACCTACACACACACACACACAAACAGACACCTACACGTATGTAGGCATTCATACATAAACTTATAGGATAGATGACAAGCTGACATCCGTCAGAGATCCACTGAAAACTTCTAGGGAGTGCTAGATATCTGTTTCGTCCTAGGTTGGGACTTTTCAGCAGTCTGAGCTCATCCCACTGCGGGGATTCGAATCCACGACCTTCCAAGAGACCATTTAGCCGATGGGACGCAACCCAATCTTCCGTAAATTCCAACTTCTTCCAATTCATGGTATATGTATATATATAGCGCAATCGCCAGCCAGTACCATAGGTGAGAGACTGTCCTCTTGCCTGACTTGGTGGATCTTACTGGTTGGTTACAACTTCTCACTAGAACTCCAGGTAACTGCCTATCTGAATAGGGCCAGTCACTAGTGACCATCAGATTAATTATCAAGTGTTATAGGTTTGCAAGATTTGATTGGTTACAAGATTGACCAGTAAGTACTCTAGGGCTGGTTTTCCAATTGGCTCTCTAACTGATGTCAACTGGTGAACAAACTTGTAACCTTTTAGATATGATAGAGAAGATTTGTAGCTCAGGTGGATGATTTTGAGGCTATTGTATTCTCCGAGCTGGATAGTTAATTTGCAAAGCTTTCATCGCCCTACTTACTAGGATACATCTTCCTTCAGCGCCTACTTCAATTTACTGAAGTGAGCTTTTAGATTCCTCCACGAGTTTACTAATCATCTCTCCCAGTGGGTGACGTTGAACGTGACTCTTTGGTTGTTTTTGTGTATTTTCACACCTTCTAGGCGGCTACTTATGGTATTGGAACTGATTGTTTGCTTGACTTGAACTTTGACCCTTTGTGTGTGAGATTTCTTTCTTCTTATCGGTTGATAAATTTTGTCTATCTCGATGTGTCTGTTGACTGATGATTCACTGGAATACCAGGCAGGCTTCTAAAAAGTCTCTAGCATTCTTGTTGTTTCCTCTGTCTAATATTTGAACGTTGTCCCAGTCGTATCCACGAACATAGCTACCCGTCAAAAGACATGATATCCACTCCGTCATATCGCCTCACGACAAACAGACGACCATGGATACGACTGGGACAACCACCGTTCAGATATTAGACAGAGGAAACAACAAGAATGCTAGAGAATTTTTAGAAGCCTCACTGGTATTCCAGTGAATCATCAATCAATAGACACATCGAGATAGACAAAATTTATCAACCGATAAGAAGAAAGAAATCTCACACACAAAGGGTCAAAGTTCAAGTCAAGCAAACAATCAGTTCCAATACCATAAGTAGCCGCCTAGAAGGTGTGAAAATACACAAAAACAACCAAAGAGTCACGTTCAACGTCACCCACCAGGAGAGATGATTAGTAAACTCGTGGAGGAAGATGTAGCCTAGTAAGTAGGGCGATGAAAGCTTTGCAAATTAACTATCCAGCTCAGAGGACACAACCACCTCAAAAACTTGTAACCAATCAAATCTCTGACAGTGAATAAAATTACTCTATATTAGACACCTCTTAGGTAAAGTAGTGAATGGTTAGATAAATCAAAGTTTGATAATAAAGAATCTATATTTTAACGGTATATATATACATAAAATTAAGTTGTTTTCAAAATATAAACACATTTATCAAATATAAACCAATAACAGTTCATCACAAACATTATCAAAAGGTTGAACTTCTTGCATTGACGGTGTATTCATTTCAGCAAATTCTAAAGGTGTATCAGGATTAAATTGAGGCAATGAGCGGTCATCATTAACTTGTTGTGATTCTAGTGTGTAAGAAAATAAAACAACAAACATTGAGTTACTTACTATTCAGTGTGATCGAAATTTGACTGAATAATTCCAAAATAATTGGGCACTGAGTGAGATATACGTAGAAATATGTCAATAATTTTATTAGTGAAATCTCATAGAAATTGAAATAAGTAATTCTGATGCTTTGTTTAGCAAACTGGTCCCAACTTCTTCAGGAAAATTAACCAAAATTAAAATACCAAAATATAATTACTATTATTATATTCTCCTTTAGTTCCTAGAGGAGCATAGGACTTTAGCCTCACGTCTTTAGCGCGTTCGGTCCACCGCCAATGTTCTCGTCTGGCTCCACGTCTGCCCATATGCTTTCGTTTCATCATCGCATGGCCTCTTCCATCTCAGCCTCCCATTGACCACCAACTCGCCACTTCCCAATCTGGTTCCACTCGAGCGATGGCCTGGCGTGCGATGTCAATTGATGGTTTTCTCAGAGTATGGTCCATCCACCTCCATTTCTTCCTTCAGATTTCTTGCACAATCGGATTCTGCTGGGTTGGCTTGCTCCCAGAGATCGCTGTTGCTGATCTTTTGTGACCGGCCATCTGATTTTGATTAGTATTGAGCGAAGAAAGCTATATATATATATATATATATATATATATATATATATATATATATATATATATAGGTGGAGATACAATTGAAAGTTGATGCTCGCCAGTGACTGGCTACAGGACGAAATTGCCTGGAGTTCTAGTGGGAAGTCGTGGTCAGTGATGTGAGGTTAGATATCGCGCAAATGCTTCTAGTCGGTGGTTGAGCTAAAATCACGAATCGGTAGAAGTTCAAATTCATGGGCTGTGCATTTAATTGGGTCCCAGTGGCTGAATGGTATACGAGCTTGCATTGTAACCGGAAGATCCTGGGTTTGAAACCCAGTAGGTGCGTACTGGCGATCAGTCCTAAACTAGGCTGAGGAAACAGCTGACTCTCCAGTACTCCAGTGCTGGTTACCTAACTGATATCAATCCATGGTCTAACCTGAAACAAAGTTAAATCAAATTAACCAGCTAGCCAGATACCTAATCACCCACCTAACAATGACTCAGAGTCACATCATTCGTCATAAATATCATGCATTTACTCTTTACATAGTTTGCTCTCCGTTCATCTGATTGCTTTCCCAGTTTTGTGTGATCAGATAATATGAGACTATCAGATTCACAATTTGTAATTTACGCAGTTGGACTGGTGAAATTTCATGGTGCTTTCCTTTGGCAACACAAAATATGATATTGGATTTTATCTTATGTGCCTAAATGACAAACATTATTACAGTAGGTAAGGTGGAATAAGGCTGTCTGTCTATGTATGTGGTATGTGTGTGTGTGGGGGGGGTGAGAAAGGGTACAGTTGGTTAACAAGTTTACCCATCTTAATGTCAGTTTCCTGTGACTGGTTTTCATAGGCTGTTTATCAATGAAGTACTTGGAGTTGGCGACTGAAATAATTTGCCTCCCATTCATTCTTGTTTTACTTATTCTTCATCTCCAAAATGAGTACGATCACAGTTTTTCCTAACAACATCGAATTTGATAACCTAACCTAATTGGTTAGGAAATGTTGGTCGAACGTTAAATATTTTTATATGTAACTTGAATATTCTCATAATCTATTCAGAACAAAATTGTGGTTCCAATAAATTGTTCTTCAGTCTCTACAATTACACAAATCCACACTCATTTTCTTCGTAATTATTACCCCTTTTTACATTTTATGAATTATGTAATCCATTCTAAAAACATGCATAGACATCGTTGGAGCATCTGCATAAGAAGCCGACATGTCAACCTGAGACTGAGCACTTCGGTCCAATCAATCGATGGGAAAATCCAAAATTCAATTCAATAATTAATAATATGACACGTTGAACAAAAGACAGTGGCTCTCATGACCCAAGTGGTCTAGTGGATAACGTTGTGGCGTTTGAAACTATGGGCAATGGGTTTGAGCCTAGCTTGAAACATCTTTATTCACTGCGGAATGCAAGTTTATCCAGATGACGAATCCCGAACAAGGCGAAATGTGCGTCCTGGATTCCTCTGCTAGTCACCATCCACCAATCAATGTAATAAATTTGTTTAATTTCTTTAGTTATTTTTACCCTTCACTCATTGCATTAATTGTTTTGTGTGGTTAAATATCACACCCCTTTGATATGCAAGTATTATCGCATTCCAACTAATTTGAGTTTTTTGACATTAGGATCAATCAGGTAATTCGGATCTTTATCTTCACTGCCTGCCTACCAATTCACTCCACCCACGCACACATAAGTAGACACATTAATGTACTTTTTAACCAATCAGAAAATGACTTAATCATTTAATTTAAAACAATTAGTTATGTTTTACGAGTTGATCACGGATTGTTATCAGTTAGAGAACCATTGAAAACCAGGGAGTACTGGACAGCTGCTGTTTCACCCTAGTTTGGGAATCATCGGGAGTACGCACCCACTGGGATTCGAACCCGGACGTTCCGGTTACAAGGCAAGCTCGTATACCATTCAGCCACTGGGACACGATTCAATGGCTCGTGAATTCTAACTTCTACCAACTAATCCTTACAAACCAAAACTATAGAAAGTTAAAACAATTAGTTCCCTTTATGAATTTAGATAAAGCAATAAGAAGACGTAATTTGTCTGAATCGTGTAATGTATTTGCGCAACACATTTCGAACAATCTGATCACACACGGACTTGTCATAGGAATATATATATAAAAAATTAATAAAGAGGTAAGAGGTGAGAAAAATAGACTTAGGTCAAGTTAAAAGGACATATTCAAGGTCAAAAAATAAAAATGAAGACCACTAAACCAAATAGCAGAGGTAATAGTACATCTGCTATGGTATCAAAACAAAATTTACCAAAGAAGGTTTAATGTGATGACAAATTGTTTTTGAACGCATAAAGGTGGCGTGAACTTTCTAATTGCTAGGGCTTCTACAAACTTTAGGATACGCCCCAAACACGTTTTATAGATAGGTTTAAAAGATCTGTTAACATCAATTTTATGACCTGTCTCTATAATATGTTTCGCAATAGAAGAGCTAGGTCTCCTGTTCTCACCGTTAATAGGTTCTGGTGATTCCATTTGTTTCTGGAGCAATTTTGGAATATGCTCATTTAATTAATCATTTCAATTTCGCTGAGATTTTACAAATATAACTTTATAAAAGAAAATGACTTCTTCATAAGATATATAAAAATAAAATAGTTCGAGCGAAGAATTGTGGTTTCAATAAATTCTTTTTCTTAAGGCTCTACAATTATTAATCCATAAATTTAAGCATACAATGGCGAGTCAGTAAAGGTAAATTAGAATCCCATCAGGAAGTGTATATCTATGAAGAAGTCATTTTTATGATTGGTTAAAAAGTAAATTAATGTGTCTACTTATGTGTGCATGGGTGGAGTGAATTGGTAGGCAGTGGAGATAAAGATCCGAATTACCTGATTGGTCCTAATGTCAAAAGCTCAAATTAGTTGGTATAAGTATAAAACTTGGGCACTGTGGTATCCATTATGGATAAGATTTTATTTTGATAAATCACACAATGCTATACAGTAATACTAACTGATGACCACGTTTCGAGCACAAATTATTGCCACTCATAATCATATCAAGACACTATTCACACAACTTTTTCTTTCATTTATATACATGTGTACAACTGACTAGACAGTGGTTAGGACTCTTGACGACCATGCAAAAGGTCCGGGGTTCGAGCCTCCGCCGACGCGCATCTGATATCTATGGTCAGCCTGAAAAATTCGGGCTACTGATATTACATGCTAAAAATTCCATACCTGTACCAAAAAATACGGTGTGGAATCAAGCTGAAAAAAAATCAAAATCAATATAGGATAATGTACATTCAGAAACAATAGTAATATGAGTTTTGATAGAGAAAGAAAGACCAGATTTGCAGTATAAAATGATATCATTCTATTTCACAGGTTCTCATCAGCTAATTGCAAACTACCTGAAATTACAATGGTTATAAATAATAACATTTCATACTTCATTGTTTGAAAGGTAATAGAGAAAACATTATAAGGGGAACGCATCTGAAATATAAGTATTATAATCAAAGTCAATCACCATCAATTTATATACTATCAAACTATGAAAGAAGAAAAAAAAGGGGGGTGAGAGAAGACAGAAAAATCTAATAAACAGTGTCAGCATAGCAACTCAGGAAGGTCAAAGTTCATCAATTTGAAAACTTGCTTATTGAGTTGACTTCACTAGTGTGTATGACTAATCAGTGTAATGAAAGTGATATGGGGCTACCAAGGGTGTGAGAGATTGACCACACTCTCTTTCTGTATGCATAAGTTTGGTCTGTGACGTTTGATTGCTGTAATTGCTGCAGCAGTGAATCGTAGTAGATTCGCTGTCCTTTGTATGTTTAATATTTTGAAGGATTTAGAAATCTCGACAAAATGACCCGTATCCACAAGGTGTCTGGTAATTGAACTTTGTAAATATCTGCTTCCTTTTAGGCATAAGTTTCTTGGAATTTGCTCTGAAAACCGGATAGAAGCTCTTCTTTCTGTCCTTCCAATCTACTTGCTGCCGCAGGTACACGTAAATTTATAAATGCAGAAGTAATATGAGTGTTATTGATCAATTACAATCAGATGGGAAATAAACGAGTGTTTTTTATAGTCAAAATAAGTAACTTGTTAAAATGTTATAATGTATGTGAATTGAAATGGGATTTTAAGATTATTTTTTATCCTCCTGTGATTTGACTGACATATTCATGTATATCTCTGGTATCTGATTTAAATCATTTCTGTTGCATGTGATGGGTGCAGACTCTATGAACCAGGTAGGATTCAGTAATCAAACTCTCTGTCCACCTACCTAGATTACTTTTAAGAATTTTAATCCTCTCCCACCCTATTGTGTGGTTGGAATACAATAATGCCAGCATATCAAAGGGGTGATAATTAACCACAAAAAAGTTAATGCAATAACTGAAGGGTAGAAATAATTACAGAAATTAAGCAAACGGATTACACAATGCATAAAATGCAAAAAAAAGAGAAATAATTACGAAATAAATGAGTGTGGATTTAAATTATAGAGTCTGAAGAATAATTTATTGAAACCACAATTGTTCTCTCTAATTATTCTGGTTCTGAATAAATTGTGGGGATATTCAAGTTACTGAAATCTTGTGTACATCTCGTAGCACTGAAGGTAGTCATTGGATATCAGAAGTATAATGCTAAGCTCACTGAGGTGAAAATGAACATGGTGAATTATATTCAGAATCAAAACATCGATAAGAAACATGGGTATTGGGTTCGAGCCTCAATGGGAACATTATCACTCACTGAGAAATGCAGATACATCCAGCTGACGAGTCCCAAATAGGACGAAATGCGCTTTATCCTGGATTCCACTGCTAGCCACCATCCACCAATTGTATACTAATTAAATGCCAAGACATAGTCAATAAAACGATTTTCTCCTAATCAAATCGAATCCCTACAAGCATATATATACATATAATATATATATATATATATATATATATATATATATACATATATGTTGGTACTAGAGAGGAATATTTCTCTAAGACTTTATGAAGTTGATGGACTGACTTGCTCAAAATTTAAAGAATTTATTTATTTATTATAAAATAATGAAGTAATGGAAACCCGAGACAACAAGAGATGAATATTATTAAGTAAAAGAACTAGATGCACAAACGACCTAAGTCAATTTCCCAATTGACTACAACCTGTACCTTTTTAACTTTTCCTCTATATTTGAATAGCCTTATTCGAAGACGAAGATTATCTGAAAAATGTGATGTATTGGTGATATACACTTCGAACAATCTGATCCCTCACACATTTAATTGTCAAGTCAATATATATGGAAAAGTTAAATTAAACAAAGTGATAAAAAAAGATTTAAGACTAATTAACACAACAACTGGTAATCCAATCAAATAAGGATTACCAAGGTAGGTTAAGAGTAATAACAAACTGTTTTTGAATACACAGGGTGGGGTGGGGTCTTAAGTTTATGAATAGCAATAGCCTCAGCGTATTTCAACAAGCACCTTTGACCGTTTTTATAGATGACCTTAAAGCCTGAGTTAACATCAATCTTATGGTTCATTTTGATTAGATGTTTAGCTATAGACGAAGTTGGTAGTCTGACACTATTGGCTTGTCACAATTCATTTGTTTTTCTAGCCATTTTGGGATATGCTCTCCCTCCCTCACATGCAAAGCACGATTACTCCTCCTTGTGTATGTGTGACCACACACACACACACACGAAAATTGGTAAATTGTGTGGGATATGACATAATCCCTTATGCACTTTTGAGGTTTGCAGTGGAGCATATTTTCAGCTTTTTCGAAAATTACAAGACGGGCTGTATAATAGATTCTGCGGATGACCGAATTCAACCTTTGTCTCAAAATCCTACTGTTTATTTCCCCGTTATATGGTAATTTGATGAAAATATTTTCCTTAGGAGCGATATAGAGTGTAGGTTTAAAGGCTAATTAACTTCTACAACTGTTTAAAAAATTTTAAAGGATATTCTTTTTCAACTACAACCTGTACCTTTTTAACTTTTCCTCTATATATGCTTTATTCCTTAGACTGAGTAATTCGGGCTGGCTATTCGCCTCATGTAGGAGTGACTGTATTGTATACTCTGACTGGACACTTCTTACTAATTAGTGCCCAATCAAATTATTACTATCACATAAATGTGGAACCAGATGAAGAGAAATTTGTCAACAATCTGAATTATTCTTTGTTCATTAATCAGTCTTTGAACTTGTTTTTTGTGACCATTTTCCAATCAAGAAACAAAAACCATAGAAAAATTCATACTCTACCTGAATTGTCTTTCATATATTTCCTAATAAATACTGCGATCATTTGAGCCGATTCTTCAAGACCTTCACGATCCTAAATGATGAAGAAGAAGACAGGAATTCATAACACTGAATGAAAATTATGCGAACAAGATAAAAACATAAGCGTTGGTTTTGTAGGGATTTGGTTTGATTGTATGGAGGATTTAATCATGAGCTGACATCAGTTAGAGAACCACTGGAAAACCTGGCGTACTGCTGAGGAGTCCCAAACTAGGACGAAACAGCTGTCCAGTACTCCCAGGTTTTCCAGTGGTTCTCTAACTGATGTCAGCTCATGATTAAATCCTCTATACAATCAAAAACATAAGCATCAAAAATTATTTCTACAAGCAGTTGTATTCTAGAATACTTGAGTGAGATTCGGGAAGTTAAATAAACTCGAAAACTAATTTCTTAAATCATGCATAGATTACGTGAAAACTTTGCTGATAAATTCTGAACTCTGAATACCGAAGTGCTTTGGTGGCACAGTGGTTAGGACTCTCGCCGACCATTCACATGGTCCAAGGTTCGATCCCCTGCCGACGCACACCTGATATCTATGGTCGGCCTGCAAAATTTGGGCTACCGATATCATGCTGAAAATTCCATACTTGTACCAAAAATACGTGTGGAATCAGGTTGCAATCAAAAATAAAAAAAGTCACTGGAATTACAATGGAACTAATTTTCTCCTTTCAAACTTTCACACATCTATCCTTTATGGTACTAATATTGACTAGACCTAGCAATTTATTAAACGTCGCTCACTCCTATTACGCTACTCAAACTCTTATAACACAAATTTGGAAATACTTTTTTTATTACCAAAACAATGTATGATATATATATGTAAAGTATGCTACTAACAAGATTTGTCAGTAGTATATAAAGACACGTTCATAAGCACAAAGAAAATTGCCTTACCATATATAAAGGATATCTCAAAAATCACTGCAAGACTCTTCAAACCTTTAGGAATTGACGTCGTACACAAACCAACAAAGTCGCTGCACTCAATTCTATGTCAACCAAAAGACTCAACAGCGAAAGAAGATAAAACCAACACCATCTACAAAATAAATTGTAACAACTGCCAAAGTGGACGTCTCCTTCGTCTTCGTATCCACGATCATAAGCTAGCCGTCAAAAGACATGATATCCACTCCGTCATATCGCCTCACTGCATACAGACAACCACGGACATCATTCGACTGGACAACCAACGTTCAGATATTAGACAGAGGAAACAACAAGAATGCTAGAGAATTTTTAGAAGCTTTGGTATTCCAGTGAGTCATCAATCAATAGACACATCGAGATAGACAAAATTTATCAACCGATAAGAAGAAAGAAATCTCACACACAAAGGGTCAAAGTTCAAGTCAAGCAAACAATCAGTTCCAATACCATAAGTAGCCGCTTAGAAGGTGTGAAAACACACAAAAACAACCAAAGAGTCACGTCCAAGGTCACCCACTGGGAGAGATGATTAATAAACTCGTGAGAAATCTAAAAGCTCACTTCAGTAATTGAAGTAGGCGCTGAAGGAAGATGTAGCCTAGTAAGTAGGGCGATGAAAGCTTTGCAAATTAACTATCCAGCTCAGAGAACACAACCACATCAAAGAGACATTCATCGCCATACAAAAATATCGAATAGCCGAGAAAGAAAGAGAGATTTGACGTCAAAAGGAGAGGGAGTGAACCAATACAGCAGTGGCAAAACATGGGAAACACGAAATGAAGTAGGACAACACGAAGATCTATGCAAATCATAGATTTCATATAAGGTGTACATAATTTCTGTATATGTATATATCAAACTGCAAAAGCGCATTCCGTTACCAGTTTCTTGTCTTCTCCCGTGTCAGAAATTCTCTGTATGCTTCCTACTTTTCCTCACCTTGAAAATAATTTTAATTAGGTGACAGATATAAACTCTTCAGTTGACTAAGTTTAACCAAAATCACCGACAAGAATGTGTCTCAATTGAAATGAATCAAAATAATTATTGTGAATAAATTCTATGTCGAAATTAAAGTCTTAGCAAAAGGTGTATTAGATGGTTGGAGGCAGTCGTTAGGATGCCTTGACTAGACCCAGGTTTTGTGCCAGTTGGCACTCATCAGCAAGGTACTCATGTCCCTTCTGAGATTCAAACCCGCGTCACTCAGTGCTGCATTCAGAGACGTTACCACTGCGCTATTCAGGCTCACAATTGACCTCCTGTAGGACGGTATTAGATATTTTTGATTACACACTAGTCAGTAACTAGTGTGATGTGTCTAGTCCGACTATTTTCGGTGCAGACTGAATTCTATCAGTCAAGCTTGCAATGTAGCCACCATGAAAGAATTCAATCTGCACCAAATATAGAACTAGACACATGACACTAGGTACTGATGATCAATCAAAATTATAAAAGGTGTTTTGGTTAAATGATGAAGCCACTTACTAGTATTTGTGAATCTGTGTTGCCTTTGGTGACGAGGTAATTGATACCTGCCTACCAAGAAAAAGTTTCGTGTGTGTGCATGTGTGTAATGCACTAACTTTCACCTCCTTCTACGATACGGCTGTGGAATATCGCCCATGATAGTAGAAAATATGTAAAATTTTCAAAAAATCTACGAATTAATCATTTGATGGATGATGAATGGCAGTGGTGGAATCCAGGATACGGGGTATTTTTTTCCTACCCGGGACTCGTCATCTGGATGTACCAGAAGCCGACATCTCAGCAAAAGCCAAACATTTCGATCCAATCAATCAATAGGAAAGTCCAAATCAACGCACTACACAAGACAGAGGTGGTTTTCGTGGTCCAAGTAGTCTAATGGATAGCACTTTAGCGTTCGAAATGATGCAACTGGACCACAGCCACCATGTGGAATCACCATCATTCATGACTAGGGAATATAGGTACATCCAGATGACGAGTTAGTCCTGAAAAAGGGTGAAATACACATTGTCTTAGATTTCACTGCCAGTCATCATCCACTAAATTACTTCGACTCTAACAATCATTCGGGATACTTTAGAGATACAGCAGTGTGAATGCCAGTACTATTTGTGTTGATCTTACAACGCGTATAGAACTTACAACTTCTTATTCCTTTACTTTCCCAGTAGTGGAACAGAGGTGTTTGTTTTTACAGGGTGGGGTTGCTAACCCTATGTCCAACCCTGACTCTTTACTGGTCTTATTACTGGCTTGGCGAGGTAAAGGAGTGAGTTCGTGGCCGGGAATCGAACATCGGACCACATGCATGGTTGGCGAGCATTGTAACGCTGTGCCAAGGACGCACATAGAATTTACATAAAATAGACAATTAAGAATACAAATAATTACAATGATAAATTATACTTACATTAGTTAACCATAGCGATTTCCAATGATTAACCATTAGATAATAACTTTGATACATTTGAATAAATCCTCTAATCTGTGTAAATAATTCATTGTCAATTTCATCTCGATTTAAAATGAATAGCTCTACAAAATCATACTAAATAAAAAAAAATTGAACAATAAAAATGAAAGTGAACAATTTTCCTTTGTATATATCATCAAATCAATGCACACCGTGATGGCAAGCTACCTAGAATAGTGGCCATATTGTAAACCTGATTGACAGAATTCAGTCTGCATCAAAGATGGCCGGACTAGACACATCACACTAGTTACTAGTGTCGAATCAAAGTATCTACTCTGCAGTCCTAGAGGAGGTCAACCGAGAGCCCGAGTGGCTCAGTGGTTACGTCTCTGACTGGAGGTGGCACTGGGTGACGCGGGTTCGAATCTCAGAAGGGAAATGATTCCTTCAAGGCGGTAGCAGATACGCCTTGCTGACTAGTAAGTTAGTGTTTGTAGGGATTAGATTTGAGTTTCAAGTTTAATCACGGATTGATATCTGTTAGAGAACCATCATTGAAAGCCACTAGGGAGTACTGGACAGCTAACTGTTTCGTCAGACTAGTTTGGGATTCATCGCCAGTACGCGCCCACCCCAATGTCGGGATTCGAACCCACGACCTTGTGGTTGCAAGAGAAGCTCACTCTCCATTCAGCCACTGGGGCCCAACTCATCAATGGCCGCCAGTCTAATGGGTGATTTTGGCGCAACTAGAACCAGCTAATATCATCATCTTTGGAGGGTATTTGTCCTCACTCCTGACCTGGTGAACCCCGAGGATCATGACTTCCCAGTGGAACTCATGAAAAGTGTTGGAAGAGTCCCAAACTAGGTTGACAAAACAGGTGTCCAGTACTCCCTGGTAGCTTTCCTGAGGTCAGTTGATGATGAAATCCTGTAACTAATCAAGTCTCCGCAACGTAAACTAACGCTTGAATAAAAAAAAATCATCCACAAATTCTAGTCGACTTTTAATTCCATTTACTTTACATCCTTACTTATTATAGACTAACTCCAGGAAGACGAAAAAATATGACAAAATGAAAGTATCAACTGATTAACACTGGGAGTTCTGTTATATCGCTAACATCATCATTAACTAGTCTTCATATCATCGCCTTTGTGATTTACTTATTTTCCCTCAAGTTAAGTAAGGCTTTCTTGCTTTCACTTCCCACTAACTCACATATAGAAATTACACAATATTATATTTTTATTATTTTACGTTCCAGGTGGTGGAACATATGACTTCAAGCTAGAGCCTTGAAGTTTCAGTAGCAGTTGTGTCTTAACGAGGTTTGGAGTGAGGCATCTGACGGCGATCGTAGCCCGAACCACTCGAGGATTGGTTTGCAAACATTCTACCATTGGAACAGTGACGCATTAATTACACAGTGGATATACTCTAACTTTAGTGACCTTTATGCAGTCGATCGATTATGTATGAGGAAACAATTTCAGGACAAGTGATCAGTCATATAATTTATCGAAAAATGAGAAGAATGTAAATCAATAATAAAGGAGATATTCAAGTGTTGGTTTGTAGGGATTTGATTCATGAGCTGACATTAGAGAACCATTGGAAAACCTGGGAGTACTGGACAGCTGTTTCGTCCTAGTTTGGGACTCTTCATCAGTACGCACCCACCCGGGGTTCTAACCCAGGACCTTCTGGTTACAAGGCGAGCCAGCTCGTAGACCATTAAGCCACTGGGACCCGATCCAATGGCCCACGAATTCTAAATTCTACCGATTCATGACATAGCGCGACCACTAGCCAACGTCTTTGGCAAGTATTGTCCTCAAACCCAACCTGCTGCACCCTACTGGTCACGGTGGATGCTCACTAGCGACTTGCCCTATTTAGGTAGGTAGTTACCTGGGGTTCTAGTGAGAAGTCGTGATAAATGTATGAAATCATTAAATACTTACTGTTTAGAAAATATGAGAATTTTACAGACGATTGTTAACTTTCACACTTAAGCAGTATAAAAGGCAAAGCTGAATACTAAATTTAAATACTCATCTGAACTCATTATTATTCCTAAAACAATAATTATAATAAATATTATTATTCAAGTGTTCGTTTGCAGTGTTTTGATTTGATTGGTTGCAGGATTTCACCATGAGTGACCCATGTGGTGAGAGCTGGCTGTTAGTCAAAATTGCTGGACAGTAATTTACTTCAATGTTTATGTCCCCAATATTGGTCATGAGAAAAATGAAAAAAAGGCTTTGCGTAGGCGGATACAGTTAACATATAGATGATCTGACATTCAAGAAACAGTCATAAAGAGATGCAAGGTCAACTTTCTGTGAGAAACAACCAATCAGAAGACTGTGTTTTTCTGCTAACAATAATCTATAATAATGTACATGAAAATCTATAAATATGTGTTGATTTACTTAATAAACGATCTGTTGCCTGGCCCTTGTCTTCTGTTGTTACAATAGAACTAAATAAACTAAAATCATAGGTTGGTTTGAACACTCCTTATTGAGATTAATACCCAATAATGAATTTCACATATTTAGAAAACTAACAGTATTTCAGATAAATTTTCATTACAGTAATAGCAAGTTATACTGGCCATTGCCCTAGGAACTTGATTTTTCTTGCTCACTCGGCAACACCTATCAGTGTGGCTAAACAAAGGCTTGCTGTGAATACCATCAACAGCTTGATACTAGACCACATGCGCTATAGCCACCGACAGCAAACCTAGCATCATCTATCGGGTACAAGATAGTTTGCTAAAAGTATCCAGCCAGCGAATACTCCAAACATCAGAGGCTATTGCAATTCTCCTAAAATAACCAGTGTTTTGTGTGAGGAAGAAACAGGTTCAGCTAGCCACTACTACTACTGCCCTCGCCTGCCTTCAGTTGAGACTATCAGTTCATGACTTCTTTTTAATTTATCTGATATGCAGTTTGTAGTGTGGTGTTAGTGGAGATCCTTTCGAACCGTAATCGATTCATATTAATGACTGATTCGATGTTATTTAGACAACATAAATGTTATTAATAGCCTTAATTCTTTCACTGTTATGGATGCCAGGTGAACATAGAGAAAACAGAGGTGATGAAGATTCCTGGCCAACACCAACAGCAACAACAACAGACAACAGTCAGCCAGCATATATGGGAGGAACCTGAAAGAAACAACCTCTTTTACCTACCTACCTGGGAAGCATCGTTTCAACTACAGGCGGACGGAACTGACAAGGATATCACAGCCGGAATCGGAAAAGAAAGACAAGCTTTCATTACTCTCAAGTCTGTTTGGAGGTCAACAGCACTACTCAGCATCAAAATTAGGATCCGGATTTTCAACTCCAATGTGAAGTCAGTCAGTGCTACTATACGGATCAGAGACTTGTCGCGTCATAAACATCACACCAAACAAACTACAGACCTCCATTAACAGTTGTCTTCGCTCAATACTCAAGATCAGGTGGCCGGCCAGAAAAGATCAGCAACAGGGATCTCTGGCAGTGAGCGAACCAACCAGGAACCGAATATGAAACAAATAGGCAGGAAGAAATGGAGATGGAGGCCATAATCCGAGGGAACAAACCACCAAGTGACATCACTAGACAAGCCATTGCTCGAGTGGAACCTGGCCGAAAGGGAAGCGGCGAGTTGGTCGTCAGTGCAAGGGTGACTTGGAGGAGGTCACGTGGGAGGAGATGAAAGCATGTGGGTGGCAGACTTGGAGCGGAGTGAAAAAGTTGGCAGAAAACAGAAAGCAATGGAGACTCGGGCAGCTGAAGCCGTATGTTCTTCTAGGAATTAAAAGAAATAATAATTATTATTATGGATGCATGTTTAACTGTAGAACCTAATGAAGAGAAGTTTATCGAAAAGAATATTTTCTGCTCAGTAGTAATCAGTCTTTTGAAATTTCGAATGGACATTTTTGATCAGTTAAAAAACAATAAAACAAAATATTTATTTATTTTTTTTATTTTAATATTACCGATGGATCATGAGATAATTGTTGTACTTGATTAATCGATACCACTATTGGGTGATGATGTTGATGATCAATATTCTGAATTGCATAACAGTTATCTAGAAACATTTGTACGTCTATTTGTGAATCACTTAACTCTTCATTAGCTGCATAAATTTGATGAAAAACAATCCAACTGATTGTGTATAACACGATAATCCACCAAACAAACCACCACATTGACATTAATGAAGATTTTATTGTAATAATCACGATCGAAGGTGCTTTTGATAACAAAGAAAATAGTTTTAAAAAAATATACATTAGTCATAATTATTAAACAAAAATTTCTTTTCAATGAATTTATTATCAAGCTGTACAATTCACTTGCTCGTGTGGAGCTAGGCATATCGGTCGTTCGACTCGAGTTTTGTCCAAGAGAGTACAAGAACACTATCCTGCATGGCTACGAAAAGGTGGAAGTGGAGCAATAAGAAGCGCGATCATTGAGCATCTGGTCGATAATGATCACCCTATCTTTATAGCCTCCGCCTTTAAAGTCATCTACAAGGGAAAGAGTAATTTACCCAAATCCCTATGTACCCGACTCATCTGTATTGCTGAAGCCATCTTTGGCTATCGAAACAGAAAAGCCAGATCTCTGTATACAGAAAAAATTCGCTCAACCCGTCCAACTTTCATGGTCTTAATCCCTCTATGCTACAGTATGGTAATTCCCAATCATATTTTGGCTCTACCAATTTTTCATTTTTCATTTTGTCTATTCAATTTGTATACTCCTCCTTACTACGTCAATTGTTACTATTACTATTCTCACTTTGAACTGTCCCCGGTATTATATCCCTTGTACCACTTGTCACTCTTAATCAATTCTTTTTTACAAGGATAAATTCTGCTATCAAATTTCACACAATATTACGTAACGTTTCTGTTTTATTCGATTTGTCTACTAATCCCATAATTGCACACCCTTTTTCAAGTTCTATCCATCCTTTGAATCAATCTATATATGACATTAATTTGCTTTGCCACTTGACATTTAACTATGAGTATAATCACAAACATTTTAGTTTTTAATTGCATTTCATACTATTATTATTATTAATATTTTAGGCATTCACACATAAATTCAATTCCCTCACGGATATAACTTCCTAAAAACCATATATGCATACGATTGTACAGCTTGATGATAAATTCGTTGAAAAGAGTCTCTTCACTGAATCATTTGTTTTGATTTTCTTTATGTTACAATCGGAATTTTCCATGAGTTAAAATTTCTTTCGCTTAAGGTAAATCAGTGGATGGTGGTTAGCAGTACAATCTAGTTCTGTTTGGTACTGACTTATCAGCTGTATATATCCGCATGGGGTGTTTTAAAGAAGAGTACTGGGTCCAAGCTTCAGCTGAAACACTGTTAATCACTCACTGAGGAATGCAGGTACATTCAGTGGCTGACAAGTCCCAAGTAGGAAGAAATGCACATTGTCCCAGATCCCACTGCTAGTCACCATCCACTAGTAATTTACTTCAAGTTAAATAATCATACATCCTCACAAGGAGCTGGCATGCCAACATCAGGCTGAGCACTTCAGTCAGTTCCTTAAGAACAGTTCTCCACAACCTCATCCTTGTGCCTTTTGAAAGGACATTTTAGAGAACACTGTCCAGCATGGTTGCAAAGAAATGGTACCTTGTTGGTTTCAATGAGAAGTGCTATGATTGAATAACTTGTAAACAGAGATCAACCAAAAACAGTACGTTTCTTACTTCTTCGTAATGTAGAATCTCTCACCAACTGCGCCGAGAAGCTAGATCTTTGTGCATTAAAAGTATCCCAATCAGATTCCATATTAGTTTGTTTATTAGATGTATCACATAGTGAAACAGTATTATTTACTGGATGACGATTAGAACAGAATTTATTGCTGTTCATAATCACATCGTCAATTATTACCACACGACTTCGAAACTTGAGTTTTATAGTTTTATTTGTTCTCCCCTATTTGTCGTCGTAAAGGTGGTAGAATTTTCCAGATGTCCGGATGAACAGGTGTTGAATCATTCCTATTACACGTCTCTGTTCTCAGTTGATTCGATAAACAAAGCTGCTGTTATCAACCTTCTTCACTCGCCACCCTGTGACATTAGATTTTAAAACTGTCACCTCATCTTATCCCATCCAGCCTATTGTATGGTTGTGTGTAACTGCATGTAGTGAGTGGTATAGCTGAACTATTCTCTAGATTTCTTATCTTATTCGGGTCAACCAGTCTAGATTTTGCTAGGTTTTTATGCTCCACTAATCTAACTGATCCCATTCTACTACGCTGATTTGACAGTTACTGCAGGGTATTAGGCCGTCGCTGGCACAGCGGTTAGGACGCTCGCCAACCATGCATATGGTCTGGAGTTCGATTCCCGGCCGGACGCACTCCTTTACCTCGCTAAGCCAGGAATAGTGCTGGTAAAGACGAAAGGTTGGGCATGAGGCTGGCTAGCAACCCATCCTGTAAAATTAAACACTGCTAAAGAAACTTCAAGCCACTAGCTTGAGGCCGTATGTTCCATTGGGAATGTGAAGGAAAAAAAGGAAAAGGAAGGCAGGGTATTAGGTAAAATAAATTGTTTTGTTCCATTGGCTTCACAGGATTGATCCTGTAACCGACAAAGCTTGATTCTAATTGAGTTTGTGGGTTTCAATGCCAGCCACTATTATTCCTGCCTGCCTTGTTAAGAATTCTCCGTAAGGTTTCCGAGGTCATTTCTTGCTATGGAAGTACTATTGATGATTTGGAGTCCTTATTGTTGGTGATGTCATTATCTTGTGCATGTTTGACATGCATGTCGTCATTAATATTACTATTGTTGTTGTTATTATTACTATCATTCTTTATTTTTACATTTCCCTACATACTTTCTGACTAATTTATTACGGTAATTATTAAGTTCCAAAGCTCCTCTCATATGCCTCATTTCCTGTCTTAGATTTTCCTTCGTACTACTTAGTTTTTAAAACAAGCAATAAATGTTAATGAGGCAGGATTTAATGAATTCATCAAATTTCGGTAGAACTCGTCAGCTGAATACTGTACATACACGGATATATATACTTTTGAAATTACATTGAGAGATGTCAGACTGATAAGTAAACAAACTACATTGAATTAGTCATCACTATCGCTACTATCATTATTTATTTTATTTTTAGATTTCCATGCATATTTCCTGACTAATTTATCAGGGTAATTATTAAGTTTCAAGACTTCTCTTATATTTATCACTTCCTGTCTTAGATTTTCCTCGGTACTATATAGATTTTGTGCTCTATTATTTAAACATTTCACCAATCCTATTTCAACTGGGATGAGCGGAAGTCCAAATATCTGTTTGAATGCGTAGGTTTCCTGTAAACACTAGTGTTTAACTTCCTATCTTCTTTCCATTTTACGCTGATATCTAACATTGGAAGCTCCTTCTTCCTGACTTTCCAATTCATAAGTGAATTAAATTGCCTACATCATCGAGTTAATGTGTTAGAAAAATCTATCTGTATTCTGTGTTCTAAGTATAGTGAATGTGTCATCTACATACCTCCACCATACTTCGATGGGGAGTGAGGCTGAACCTTTCAATCTCTGTGTTTTCCCACCTATCCATGAAGATATTTGCTACAACCGGGGGACATTGGTAACCCGATGGCAACTCACTCAGTTTTTGTTTGTAATATTTTCCCTTGAAACGTCTGCACTTAATATGAATCTAGTTCTGTTTGACTTCGTAGTCATCGTCATGAAAACGATTACTTCAGTTTGTTTCTATCCGAATCCTGTTCACACCTGTCTTGGTTAAACACAATTTAACATAATTACTCCTGCGTATTTTTGTTTCTATCCAATCCCCACCCCTGTGATCTGTATTCACACCTTGAAACTTTCATGTCAAATTGAGAATTATTCTGCTCTATTTAATCTCTTCCTTCGTGACTATGTTGAATTAGGTATTTTATAATAATAGCTGTAACTATGTAAACTTGAATGAGTTCCTTGGCCTTTTGTCTCTCCTGCTTTGTCTAAGACTATATGAGTATACATTATGGGTAAATTTTGTTTGTTTTGATAAAGTCTCACAGTGTTGTTATACAGTAATGTTTACTGATTACCACGTTTCGAGAACCACAATTTATCACTGCTCATAATCATATCAAGACTACTCACACAACTTCCTAACTTCATTTATATAATTCCATTATTTTTCACTTGATTTGATTGGTAGTAATATTTTGCATATTTCAGGTATGAGTGATGAATCATTCCTATTGCATGTGTTGTTTGGTGTAGACTCGATGAACTCGATGATTCAGTAATCAACCTCTCTCTCTCCACCTACCTGTATTACTTCTTAGAATTCTGACTCTGTCCCACCCGCCCTATTGTGTGGTTGTGTCTTAATACATGCATTGTAATTTCTGAACTTTTTTCTAAATTACTCATCTGTATTCGCTGGGTTGGTGTTGGTCAGCAAAAAGGTCAGCGTTGAAAAGCACTGGAACAACTTGAAAACGGTGTGGAGCCAAACCTGCATAGAAATTCTAGGCAGAAAAAAGAGACAGGACAAACAGTGGCTCACTACGGACACTTGGAAACTAATAGAAGAGAGAAGGACAGTGAAGCAAAAGATTATCCAGTGCACGGACGAGCAACAAAAACAGGAGCTGAATGCAAGCTACAATACACTGAACAAAAGAGTGAAGAAAAGTGCCAGGGAAGACAAAAGAAAATATTATGAAACCATGGCAAACGAAGCAGAACAAGCTGCAGGCAAAGGAGACCTCGCCACACTCTACCAAACAACTAGGAACCTTTCGGGCAAACGTTCGACACAGATTAAGCCAATAAAGGACGACAATGGAAAGTCAATCACCAAAGAGGTGGAACAGAGAAAGCACTGGGTTGAACACTTCAAAAGACTTCTAAATCGTCCGCCACCTACAACACGTCCAGCAATACCAACAACGGAAGCAGAACTACCAGTGAACACTGACCCCCCGACGAAATCAGAAGTCCTGAATGCAATCAAGATGCTTAAAACTGGGAAAACACCGGGACCAGATGGAATCCCAGCAGAGGCTTTGAAAATAGACCCAGAGACAACAGCGGACTTGATGACACCACTACTGGAGAAGGTGTGGAAAGAGGGCAAAGTACCCGAGGATTGGAAGAACAGTTACTTATTCAAACTTCCAAAGAAAGGAGACTTAAGTCAATGTAAAAACTGGCGTGGAATTATGCTTCTGTCCATTCCAAGCAAGATACTAAGTCGCATCATCCTGGAGAGAATCAAACAAGCCCTAGATGAAAAACTTCGTCCGGAACAGGCTGGATTCAGGAGAAACAAATCATGTATTGATCAAATCGCCACTCTACGGATCATCATTGAACAAAGCTTGGAATGGCAGTCACCTCTCTATCTCAACTTCATCGACTTTGAAAAGGCCTTCGACAGCGTCGATCGAGAGGTCATTTGGAAACTACTTCGCTACTACGGGGTCCCATCGACAATTATACACCTCATCCAACAGTTATACGACAATGCTGCATGCCAAGTAATCCACAACGGGAAACTTACGGAAGCCTTCGAAGTGAGGACGGGAGTGAGGCAAGGCTGTCTACTATCACCAATGATCTTCCTGATTGCAATTGATTGGATAATGCGACAGACAACGGCAACCAACGAGGGAACAGGCATAAAATGGACTGACACAAAAGACTTGGAGGATCTGGATTTCGCCGATGATATATGTCTGATTTCCCATAAACTGGAAGATATGCAAGTGAAAAGTAACAAGTTGGCAGAAGAAGCATCAAAGATAGGACTTCACGTGAACATAGATAAAACAGAGATGATGAAGATTCCTAGCCAACATCAACAGCAACAACAACAACAGACAACAATAAGCATAAATGGGAAGAACCTGAAAGAAACAACCTCCTTCACCCACCTGGGAAACATCGTCTCAACTACAGGCCGACGGAACTGACGAGGACATCAAAGCCAGAATCGGAAAAGCAAGACAAGCTTTCATTACTCTCAAATCTGTGTGGAGGTCAACAGCACTCAGCATCAAAAATAAGATCCGGATTTTCAACTCCAATGTGAAGTCAGTGCTACTATACGGATCAGAGACTTGGCGAGTCATAAAGAGCATTTCAAACAAACTTCAGACCTTCATTAACAGCTGTCTCCGCTCAATACTCAAGATCAGATGGCCAGAAAAGATCAGCAACAGGGATCTCTGGGAGCGAACCAATCAGGAACCGATTGTGAAACAAATAGGCAGAAAGAAATGGAGATGGATTGGCCATACGCTGAGGAAACCATCAAGTGACATCACTAGACAAGCCATTGCTCGAGTGGAACCCGAAAGGGAGGCGGCGAGTTGGTCGTCAACGTGAGGGTGACTTGGAGGAGGTCATGGAGGAGGAGATGAAAGCATGTGGGCAGACCTGGAGCAGGGTGAAAAGTTGTCAGAAAACCGAAGGCAATGGAGGTGTGCAGCTGAAGCCCTATGTTCCTCTAGGAACTAAAGGATACAATAATAATAAAATTCGCTGGGTTGACCATTCTTAACTTAGCTAAATTATAATGTTACGACAATCTGACTACACCCCACCTACTAGTTTGACCTATGTAGTTGACCTAACTCACAGTCATTGCAGGGTATTTTGTAAATTATATTATTTTGTCTATTTGGGTCAACTGGGTCCTTTAACCTACACAGCTTGTCTTGCCTGAGTGAGTTTGTAGGTTTGAATGCCACCCTAATTCCTGCTTTATTAAGAATTCTACATAGGGCCTCAGATGTCCCCTCCCTAATTTGGTGAATCTACTGTAGATACCTTACATTCTCTCTTATTTATGTTATCATTACTAGTTTCACAATTATTTCTATTTTGCTTTTGACCTTTTTCCATCTTTCTAATGAATTTTAGAGGCCTGTTAGTTATTTAACACCAACGCCTCTTCTATCTGTTTTATTTCATCGTTTAGGTTCCTTGTTGTACTACTTAGTGCTATTGCTCGGTTTGTTAGACACTTAATTAAGCCAGCCTTCACAGACAGATAACGGATGAGATGAATTAAAGTCTAAATATCTTATATATGAGTATACATCAATAATCTGTCTCCTTTCGTTGTGGGTTTTGTGATATCATATCATATCGTTTTTATTACTAGCAGTAATCAGAACAGCAGTAATCAACCTCTCTCGCTCTCTCCACCTACCTAGATTACTTTTCAGAATTCTAACCCTGTCCCACCCTATTGTATGGTTGTGTGTTAATGCATGCAGTGCAATTGCTGAGCTTTTTTCTAAGTTACTTATCTTCTCGGGGCCAACCATTCTTACCTTAGCTACTGAATTCTTATATTCCGAAAATCTGACTACTCCCGACCTCTTAGTCTGATCTATGTTGTTGATCTAACTCACAGTCATTGCAAGGTATTTTGTAAATTATATTATTTTGTTTAATTTGGTCAACTTGGCCCTTTAACCTTCAACACTTAGCTTTAGTATAATGTCCCATTAGAAATCGTTTAAACTCTAGACTAACTAATTCATATGAGACGAAATTTAGACCAAATGACATTCAACTATAGAATAACGAAACAACGGTTAGTTAGTTTTGATATAAGTAGTTTTTAATACCAGTATACAAATCAATATGGCCTTAGAAGCAGGTAAAAAAGAACTAACTGCGGATGCTGAACTCACTCATAGGACAAAGCTGCCCATTGAAGAAACTATTTTAGGAATTCAATTATGCCTCACATCCAGTACCTTTAAATTCGAGGGTAAAATATATAGACAAACAGAGGGTGTAGCAACGGGATCACCAATATCCCCTATCGTAGTTAGGTCAACTACATAGTTCAGACTAGTAGGTCGGAAGTAGTCAGATTTTCGGAATATAAGAATTTAGCTAAGGTAAGAATGGTTGACTCCGAGAAGATAAATGATTTAGAAAAAAGCTCAGAGATTGCACTGCATGTATTAACACACAACCACACAATAGGGCGTGTGGAACAGAGTCAAACTTCTAAGAAGTAATATAGGTAGGTGGAGAGCATGAGAGATTGTTGACTAAATCCTGGTTCATCGAATCTGCACCCAACACAACACATGCAATAGGAATAACTCATCACTCCTACCGGAAATATAGAAAATACTACTAGCAATCAAGTCAAGCGATAAAATATAATGGAATTACATAAACGAAGTTAGAAAGTTGTGTGAGTATTGCCTTGATATGACTATGAGCAGCAATAAATTGTGCTCGAAACCTGGTCAGCAGTAAATGTTACTGTATAACACTCTGTGAGACTTTATCAGAATAAATTTTACCCTCAATGGACTTATACTCTACCACAGTGCAAAAGTTCTATTCTTATATCAAAGAAGGGGATTATTGTTATCTGCATCTCCAGTCAAAATGAACTCGTCGCCAATTTGCTTTGGACTTGTCGCCAACTGATATGATCGCTTTGACAGCTGATATGATTAAGCGGGGATTTAATAACACTGACGCGATGAACACAACTCAACTGATATTCTAAATACACCTATTCGTCTGTGATGCATTCCGCTTTACTGAGCCACGTAAATATGAAACAACGAGGACTGCACTGTGACTTTTAGGATACAATGTTATTAGGAAAAAGTACAATACACTTATATACGTTTAACCTTATTAAAATCTGTCCAGGTCAATGGGAGTAGATTGCTCTGATTGGTTGACGATCCGGCTATGTTCACGGAAAATGAATATTCTGATTGATTTTCAAATATCGGTTTTAAAGGGATTTTTGTTTCATTGATTGGCTGGAGGATTTAAACATGAGCTGATATCTGTTAGAGAACCATTGGAAAACCTAGGAGTACTGGACAGCTGTTTCGTCCTGATGGGGGACTCTTTATCAGTACTCACCCACCCATTGGGGTTCGAACCCAGGACCGTCTGGTGACAAGGCGAGCAAGTTCATAGATCATTAAGCCACTGAGACCTGCCAATCCAATGGCCAATTCACAACATAGCATGACAATTTAGCAATATATTCTTCGATGAGTAACTCTCCTCACTTTCAACCTGCAGTACCCCACTGGTCACGGCTTTCCACTAGAAACCCAGGTCACGCTATGTCGCGGATTGGCAGAAGTTAGAATTCATGGACTGGCCATTGGATTGGTGGGTCTCAGTGGCTTAATGATCTATGAGCTCTCTCGCCTTGTAGCCAGACGGTCCTGGGTTTGAACCCCGATGGATGGGTGTGTACTGATAATGAGTTTCAAACTCGGACGACGCAGCTATCCAGTACTCCTAGGTTTTCGAATGGTTCTCTAACTGATGTCATTAGCTCATGATGAAACTCTTCAACCATTGTGAATGATTCGCAGTTTGACCAAGCCAGAAGTACGAAAAGGGATCACACAGTGAATTATAAGATGATTGCTCCTTTAAGCCAATTCCTATCAGAGAGATAGAAGGGGGTATTATTTTATTCTCATAAACATTAGACACATGTAAAAAATAAATCACTTACGTTCATAGGTAGGCTTTTCCTTATCTGAAATGTATATAGCCATTTCAGTAGTAAATTTCTCTCCATTATAAAAAGTATAACTACACTGAAATAATACATATCCATAAACTGCTGATTCACTCTCATGATCAATAGGTAGACGACGTGATTTTATTGTTGGATATTTGCCTGAATAATTAATTTCAAAGTATTTTGCAGCTTGACCACGCATAGTTATCTTATGTATTCCTTTACTATGCACTAGTGCTAATGGATCACGTTCAACTATACAACCAATATTGATTTGTTCATTATCATTATCATCATCAGAATCAGAATCAGAATCGATATCACTACTGAAATGAAACTTGTCAACATGATAAGTGAAATATAATTTCACATCTACAATAATCAAAAATAAAATATATGTTCAATAATAATAATAATTATTATTATTATTATCATTACTGGATTTCATCATGAGCTGAAATCGGTTAGAAAGCCATTGAAACAACCAGTAGTCGAGTACTGAACACCTAGCTGCTTCGTCAGCCTAGTTTGGGATTAATCGCCAGTACTGAAACACCCCCCGCCCTGCTAGGGTTTGAACCCACAACCTTCCGGTTACAAGGTGACTGACACTACCTAGTGGTCACGCTATATCATGAGTTGGCAGAAGTTGGAATTCATGAATTGGCCACTGAATTGGCGAGTTTCAGGGGGCTGAAGGGTTTGTGAGCTAGTTCGGCTTGTAACCACAAGGTCGTAAGTGAGAACCACAACAATAGGATGAGTACATAGTGTTGAAAAGTCACAAATTAGGTTGATGAAACAACTAGTTGTCCAGTAGTCAACTGGTGTTTTTCGATGATCCTCTAACTGGCGTCAGCTCAGGACGAAATCCTGCAAACCAACACTTGAATATTTATAATAATAATAGTTATGATTATAATTTGTAGGAATAATAATGAGTTCAGCTTGAGCACTTAAAATTATTGTTCAACTTTACCTTTCATACTGCACAAATGTGAAAGTTAACAATCGTCTGTAAAATTATCATATTTTCTAAACATTAAATACTTAATGATTTCATATATTTTGTTGACTAAATTGTCAGTTCCTTTAGGTTCTGAGTGGAACATATGCCTTCAGAAGTATGCGTTCATTGTATCCTGTTCCCAACGATCCTTTTCTTTTAATTGGTTCCACCAACTTCTCCATCTATGTGACTTTCGGAGAGGTGTGTAGTAATTTGAAATGATGCGCTTCTGTATTGCATATTGTGTTGGCAAAGTTAAACTTCAAGCACCACTAACTACCAATCAACGAACAACGTCAAATGGTCCAATGAGGTTTATGCACGTGAGTTCAATGTTGTATAGTGAGTGAGTGCTTGATTCGTTTCAAATGCGTGCTCTGACGAACTTACGCTTACAGTTCGAGGAGGACAAGATTTTCCAGTATTGCTTAGATTTAGGGTTGTTTAGGAAGGAGAGGATTTATTCATATGGTGGTGTGATGAGTTTAAAAACCTTTAGCAGGTCAACTGATGGATATGTCCATCGTTGTGCAATTTGTGCTTGAGACGAGTTAGTATTAGAGAAGGTGGTAAGCTGATAATTTTAATATTTCGTGGGAATACTTTTTGGTAGGTCGCATCTCTCCCTAACGCAGATTTTGTATATTTGTAACTACTGGGTTTGAAAACAGCCTATGGGAGGAGCAGTTGCTGAAACCGAAAGTAGCCTCGTGTCAACAGTTCAGTAGTATCAGCGCTGCAGAGACATTGCATCGTGGAAAAAATGGAGAGAATTACTTCGTTGTTGGACGGAGAAAGTATTGTCGTGCACGTGAAGAAAAAATACAACTGTGGTCGTCAGCGAGCCAACAATATTTGGGTAATTGGTTTATATGACACATTTCTACGGAAAGGATTCGTTGAGAGAATACCTGACAAAGTCAACTACTTTAATACCTATTATTACTAGACTTGTGAAACAGGGGGTCAACAATACCTACTGGTAAATGGAAAGGTTATAACTCATCTCTTGGATATTATATTCATCATAGAGTGAACCATTCCAGTGATTTTGTGGATCCCTTTACAGGAGCACACAGAAATTCCATAGAAGGATTTTAAGGAAGATTGGAAAATAGAATTAGGCATATAAATGCATCTTGAAAGGATCTCATTTGGAGTCATTTGGATCAATATGTGTAAGCAGTTTCTCCTTCTTTTTTCATAAATATACGTTTTCCTTTATCGAAAATCCCTCTTTCATGTGATTGGTTCGTTGAAGGTCGGTAGTTAGTGGTGCTTACAGTTTAACTTTGCCTTGTGTTAATCTCTTTCTCTATCTATATGTATCACTTATAGCCATTAAAATCAATGATACAATGAGCAGTCATTAAGTGTTGCAAAGACAGTCAGTCATCTCGTATTTCTGGCAAAATCTTCTAAGAATACATCAAACCTGAAGTAAGTAATCTGATTGGATGATAGCTAGCAGTGGAATCCAGGACAATGTGCATTCCAGCTGTCCCATTTAGTCTGGCTCATCAGCTGGATGTGCCTGCATTCCTAAGTGAGTTAGTGAAGGTGTTCCAACTGAGGCTAAAACTTAAAACCCATCGTTTCGAATGGCAAATCGTTATCCACTAAAAACACTTAGACCACCAGAGTCATCTCTTGTGCAGTTATTATTTAATCCAGCCTGAACTTTTCTGTTGATTGATCTGACCGAAGTCCTTGGCCTCAAGTTGACATGTTGGTCTCCTGAGGAATGTTTCGACGATGTCTGAGGTATATCCACTAGCTGACGATTTCTAAATAGGACGAAGTGTGCATTATCTTAAATTCCAGTGTTAGTCACCATCCACCAAATTATTTCAAGTTAAATCCTCAGAAATCGTTGAAGCATCCATACAAGGAGCCGACATGTTAAACGCGACTGAACACTTAGGTCAACGAAAAAGTCTAAATTAGCTTAAATATATATATCAAACTTCCTAAAAAGTACATGTTCGACTGAAAAATAAGATTCACTGTTGCAATTAGTAGCATAGTGTATTAATATATAAAAAAAGAGTGAGGTTTCAACTAGTCAGCTGCAATGATTTCTGTATAATTTCTTGAATGAGATATTTGTGGTGAAATTGTGTTTTGCAGTTTACTTGAACTGTGATTAAGGTATGACCGAATAATTCAAAAATTATATTAGCCTCTGAGTAAGAAGCAGACATTTGTAAACATTATATTTGTAAAATCTCAGAGGATGAGGGAAAGAGAGAAGGACATGTTCAAGTGTTGGTTTTTAGGGATTCGATTGGTTGGAGGATTTCATCATGAGCTGACATCAGTGTTAGAGAACCATTGGAAAACCTGGAGTACTGGACAGCTATTTCGTCCTAGTTTGGGACTCTTCAGCAGTACGCACTCACCGAAGTGCGAACCCAGGTTGAAGATAAGGCAGTTACTCATCGAAGAAGATATTGGCCAGGGGTCGAGCTATGTCGTGAACTGGATCAGATCCCAGTGTTACAATGGTCTACGAGCTAGGTCGCCTTGTAACCAGAAGGCCTTGGGTTCAAACCCCAGTGGGTGCGTACTGTTGAAGAGTCCTAAACTAGGACGGAGGAAACATCTGTCCAGTACTTCCGGGTTTTCTAATGGTTCTCTAACTAATGTTAGAAGGACATGTCTTTAAAAGCCTTGTCCACTCGTGTGAGTCATGATAAACATCAAATGAAAATAGACAAATTTGAATGAACTGTCATCAAAATTTGACCACAGACTTATATTTATTACAAGTTTGACTACGGATTGATATCAGTTGGAGAATCATTTAGAAATAGCACTGGAGTGCTGGCCATCTGTTTGATCCTAGTTTGAAGCTTATCGGCAGTATACACCCACAACCAGGGTTCGGACCCTTGACCTTTCGTTTACAAGGAAAGCTGGTAGACCATCCAGCCATGAATTTTAACTTCTACTAATTCGTAACTTTAGAGCTATCACCAGTCGTTGATTCTCTGAGTGATGTCAATCCATGGTCAAACTTGATGCATATCAAATCACCATATACCAACTCTGAAAAATTAATCTGAAGATCGCCAGTAACTGCCTTCAGGACGGCGTTTTCTTGGATTCTAGTGAGAAGTTGTGATCAGTGGCATCATCCTGTCGGGAGTGAAGACAAATACTCGCCATGGATGATGACATTGGTTGGTGGCAGTCACACTAGTATCACGAATCGTTAAAGGTTAGAATTCATGGGCTGGTGGCCATTAAGGAGTCAGGTCCCAGTGGCTAAATATTCTACGAGCTTTGCTTGTAACTAGAAGGCCTTGGGTTCAAACCCTAGTAGTAGGCTAGGTGACCAGTCCCAGATTAGGCGGATGAAATAGCTAGCTGTCTAGTTCTCAAGTGCCTGTTTTCAATGATGGTTCTCTAACCATGACCAAATTTTATAAGTATTAGTCTAATTTTGTTATACACTGTATACAGTGTGTATTTTTTCACCAAACTTTATCGATCACGTTTTTCTTTAGTTCATGGTCATGGATGATAACTGAATATGAAATATATGTGTAGGATATTCCATGGTGTGTGTGTGTGCATGTGACAACAATTATATATCATTTGCAGCTGATGAGAACCCGTGAAACAGAATAATATCCTTTTATGCTGCAAAGCTGATGTATAATATAATATCAATATTCTATTACCGGGACCCACACCTCTTCTATTCAAGGCTTTTAGAGAAGGTTGAAAAACAGGATTAGAGTCATTAATGTGTCACAAAGCGATATTTATTTGTAGTCATTTAGATGAATATTTGTATAGGATGTGGTATAACTTTTCCATTGATGCTCCTGTACTATGCTAATCTAGATGTCTTTTATCTCATGTGAAAGAGAAGCATCCTATGTAATACTTTTATATGGTCTTTATGCACTTTTTTTTCGAAAAAAATAATAAATATATGTATTCCATAACCAAAAATGTCTCCTTCGTGTGATTGGTAAGTTCAAGGTCATTCTCTGATTGGTGGTAGTTAGTGCTGCTTAAAGTTTGTTTAACTTTGCCGGTATGGGTGGTATACAACTACTCATTCCACTTAATCAGTAGTATATAGTTTTATGCAAATTTATCGCTTTTTTGTTAATCAGATCACATATACCTTGGTAATCTGAATAACTCGATTTCTTAAGGGAACTACGGTGAGAGGTTTCACTACTCGAACTGCATTTAGATTGTATACTGTGAACTTGATTAATCATAAAACATTTTTTGAAAAACAAAAAGAAGAAGAATTAACCGACAAAATACAAACAAACTACCATTTACAACTTTCATATGCGTTTTCAGTGAATCATATTGTACATTATAATTTTTCTTGAGATAAGAACATTGAATTGACCATTGTTTTTCATCGCTATAAACATGTTTATTGTTAGGCGGTCCAAATATATAATCATTATCACAGTATTCAATAGATAATTCATCTTTAGGATATACTTGCTCCCTTTTTTTTCTTCCACTAAGCAACAGGTTACAATAACCATCTGAATGTAATAATCTGGGAGTATGACAACATGCAAATTGATTGTTTGAACCAACAGAATAGGTGAGATTTACTGGATTCTGTTTACTTCTAGTGTTACAATCATAAGAAGCTAAGTGATTTTAAATAAATAAAAAGATTTAAAGAAAATATTCAATACTTATTAGATAAACAATTTTAATTGGAGAAGAGACAAACAGACTTGGGTAACAACTGACTTGCCTTCTTCAAGTAGAACAAACTCTTTTTTTATACATCTTTTAGCTAAATTTAAAGTCAGCTAATTGGTTGGAGGATAGTAAGCTATTCTGATTGGTTGTTGATTGACACCTCAAGGTTAAGCCTTGAGACGAGAAGTTGACCAATCAGATTATTTCCTGACCACAAAGTTAGATAAATCCAGATTTGCAGAATAAACACTTCTACCTTAAAAATGTTGTTTTCACCTTCGCCTGCTTCTCATCAATCTGCTTTTATATACTAATGATAAATTCTGTCAGTATTACATTACCATATCTATATAATATTGTAAACAAATGAATATTTTAAGAAAGTATTGTTTACCTTTTCCCAGATATTAGCCAAAGCTTAATGGTGTTTATAGTTTGGTAGTATGATATGATGATCCCATTCTGCCGATGAAATTTAACAGTTTCGAACTGTGAAGTGAGTTGATTTATCATGATTATACGTTTATGCGTTGAATATAACACCTGTCCATCTGTTTATTCGAATAGTTTCCAATTATTGTACTGATGATTTTAGTTCAAAATTAAAACAGTTATAAAATTAGAATAATTTATTTTAAGTTTTCAAGAGTTTGTTTGAAGGGATTCGATTTGTTTCGAGTTCGATCATAGATTGATATCAGTTAGAGAGAACTATTGAAATCCAGCACTCAAGTACCGGACAGCTAGCTGTTACGTCAGGCTAGTTTGAGAATCATTGCCAGTGCACACCTTCCCCACTGCCGGGGTTCAAATCCACACAGCCACTGGGTCCCGACTGCTCACTGCCTGCCAGCCTATGAATTCTAACTTCTGCTTAATGGATGGTGACTAGCAGTGGAATTCCCACCGATTTATGTATGAACAGTATTCTCAATGAGAAGTATGAAGTACCCAACAGCTGATTAATCCTACTTTGAAAGTTTTCAGTACAATACACCAACCAGTGCGAGGTTATCAGTGTCAGTTTGCCAATAAATTTAACTTATGAGGAGTTACAAACTAGGCTGACGAAAGATCTGTCCAAAACACCCTGATGGTTATCTAGTGGTCCTCTAACCGTTGTCAGCTGGTGTTGAAATCTTGTGTAATTAATGTGTATTTCTTATTTAAAGTGAAGATAACCCGTTGAACAACCGTTCAAGCATTTCCAAAATGATCGCATCAATCCAATTCAAAGACATAAACCTCTTACCATGGCACTCAGTATTACAGAAGAATAAGGATTGCATGGATTTCGATTAGCATCAATGAACATTATTCATTGTCTTAAAAAATACTTTCACATATGGTAGAGCATTTGGTCCAAGGAACTGAACGTCAATAATATTACTATTGTTGATTATTGCAATTGATTTTATGTGTGTTAACTGAATCTTAGGCGGAATCGTATTATCAGCGTGAAGCTTTGTAGGAAAGTGTACCATTTTACACCTGTCTAGATTATTTAAACCCATAATATTGACGACTTCATGCCTTGATACTACTACATTTTAGTCTGACTTGAATGATGAATTAAGTCTGCCCCAAATAAAGTTCTAGATGCAAGATACTAGTTACTAACTAGTATCCAATACATTCCTACAGGTAGTCAGTTGTTAGTCCAAACAGCTTAGCGGTGGTTATGTCTATGACTGCCTTCAGCACTGGATGACACGGGTTCGAATCCGAGAAAACAGGACATGAGTTCCTCCAAGATTGCAGATACACCTGCCTTAGTGACAGGTGACTGCCAACCAGCAGGACACCTAGGTCCAAGGATAGGCTTCATGGCGATTGCCTGCATAACCACCTAATATATCAACAATTCAGAAGGCACCGTGATGTCGAGCCACCAAATGGTATAATGGTCACACTGCGAACTCAACTACTGGTAGAATTCAGTCTGTACCAGGTAAAAGGAGTAAACATATTACACCAATTAATAATAATAATTTGCCTTGATGATATTAGATGGTTGGAGGCAATCGGCCACAGGAAGCTTTGGACCTAGGTTTTGTGCTACTTGGCACTCATCAACAAGGCATATCTGAAACCTTGAAGGAACTCACGTCGCTTCTGAGATTCGAACCCACGTCACCCAGTGCTGCCTGCAGTCAGAGACGCTACCACTGATCTATTCGGCTCGCGATTGACCTCCTGTAGCACTGTAGAGTGGATACTTTGATTCGATACTAGCCAGTAACTAGTGTGATGTGTCTAGTCCGACTATCTTTGGTGCAGACTGAATTCTGTCAGTCAGGTTTGCAATGTGGCCACCATTCTAGGTAATTCGCCATCTCTGACTGCGACACTGGGTGATGCGGGTTCAAATCCCAGAAGGGACATGAATTCCTTCAACGTTTCAGATACGCCTTGCTGATGAGTGCCAACTAGCACGAAACCTTGGTCAATTGGGACTTCCTGCCGATTGCCTCCAACTACTAAATATCATGAAATAAATATGCACCGTGATGGTGAGCTACCTAGAATGGTGGCCACATTGCAAACTTGACTGACTGATAGAATTCAGTTTGCGCCAAAGATTGTCGGACTAGACACATCATACTAGTTACTAGTGTCCAGTCAAAATAATTATTTGCCTTATTCCAAAACAGTACTAATGATACACAGTGTGGGGTTTTCAGAATTTACTACAATATTGCATCTAATTTCATAGAATAACATTAAAAAAACAATTATACAGATAATATCACAGGATAATGGTAATGACAGTTCTTATTTGGTATTTGTAGTGACAGTGAAGTTGTGGTGACAGCAGGCCGTGAGAAAATATGTACAAGGCTGATTCAGCACCCGATCACAGCAGACTTAACGTGGCAAAATATGATTCGCAGATAGAGAACTCTATTTTTCAAGGAATCCCGAAACAACCAATCAGAAGCCTGCGTTTGTCTGCCTAACTTCTGATAAACAACCAATCAGAAGACTACGCTTGTCTACTTGCATAAGCTATAATAATGTATGTGAAATATATATAAATACGTGTTGATTTTCGTAATAAAACGATCTGTTGCCTGGCCCTTGTCTTCTGTTGTTACAAAGTCATATATATGTATACAAAATAAAAGTGTAAATAGTAACATTAATAATAATAATAATGTTTGTAGCTAAGATTATCAGTTAACTGAGATATTGTCACCACAGATTAAAAATAGGAGATTATAAAAGAGCCCACTATCTTGATAATAATATGCTAATTCATGAATAGATTCGAAGATAACATCTTTTCAAGCATACTCACTCCTAAAATATGGTTAAGATATATGTATATGATACTTTTGTAGGGCTAAAACGAGACCTGTACAGTTCATTCATGGAGAAAATAAACAATCTATCTCCCCGCCCCCGCCCCCCCCCCCAGAATCCAGGTTACTTCAGAAGCAGAAGTCGGTGAACTACCATTTCTAGACTGGCTGCCTAGTTAAGAGAAAGGAAAACGGACGTTTTAGTATATCTACATTCAGGAAGAAAACCCACTCCAATAAATATTTAGACTTCAGATCATCACACCCCATCAGAGCAAAGGTATCAATTGTCTCAATTAATCTTAGACGAGCACACTTTGATGATGACGGATGAGAAATAAGAAAAAGAAGAAAAACCAAACATTACTGAGACTCTCAAGCAAAACAACTACCCAAAGAACTTCATCACCAAAATCAACGCTGACATTAATATGGTCAAAAACGTATTCCGAAAACATGGACCTCAACAGTTGTCATTCCATATAGAGTGGAGATGTCAGACGATATCAGAAGACTGCTAAATGAGCTTGACATCAGAGCTTTCTTCAAAATATCAGACACTACAAAGCAACATTGTTCATATAAAAGATCGAATCCCCAAAGATTCTCTATCTAATTGTGTCTACAAAATAAAATGCTTGGAATATGATGTGATATACATCGGACAAACCTCACTACAGATAAATCAAAGTAATCAGAAGAAATGAACAGCGTAGAGCATCTGTTCGACCACCATGAAATCCAGTTGAACTAGAAAAGCTTCAAAAACTATCAGCCATAGGTCATATACACGCTACTGAAACGAGCCACAAAATTGATTTTGACAATATTGAAATAAGATTTGATCGTGTGAAATATTTCCATATTATGAATTAATAGGCAATCTGAAAATCTGGACATCGCATCGATGTCAACACAGCTTTCAGGGTTATATGCCGAATTCCGAAGTTGTTATCACGTACACTTCGCTTACGTCATCTACACATAGCTGAAGCTGTTGCAACAAGATCGACTAAACCGGAACTTTGTATCCAAAAAGAACACGTCCAGACGCTGTTCTTACCATGGCCAAACTTGGATTGATGATTCTTCTTCTCACCAAGGGTGTTCCCTCCCCTTAACCCTCTCCGTTTTTTTTACTTTGCTTATTATTACAAATATCATTACAGTCATTATTATTCGTCATAGTTTATGCTCAATACTATCGAATTTTTAATTATACGGACTTATTATCATTAGTGATATTATCTCTTTTCTCAATATATGCCTCCATCTGTTTCATTTAACATATTCGTTATCTCATTATGAACCTCTCATTGCAGTCTTACTATCTCCTGTTTAACACAGACCACTTTGTACTAACCACTCACCTGACACCTTTTAGAACCTTGAACTGACTGACTTGTCAATTTTCCTACCCCACACTCTACAATTCTATTATGATTAATCACCACCATTGTCTCCCGTTTTACAATATTTTGGTAATCGATTTCAGCCTAGCACGTTTGTCACACAGACGCGACTATTTTTTTGACACCATGTAACTAATCTGTTATTCTACGTTAAAAAATGTATCCGCCGCATAACAGGCCTTTATTGTAACTACCACAAATGTTATATTTTATAATTGTAAGAGC